TTATGAAAGTTGTAGCCCACAAAGACATTAGAAATGTCAAAGCTTTGGCTGAAATGTTTTCTCTGATATGCAGATGCTAATGCACAATAAAGGGGGTGTATAGGGAAGAATAGAGTTACTTTGGATTAGACAGAGGGGAGTGAAGGGGGAGGGAAGGGTGTATGGGGGTGGGAAGGATAGTGGAATGAATTGGACATTATTACCCTATGTATATATATGCCTACACGACCAGTGTGATTCTACATCATGTACAACCAGAAGAATGAGAAGTTATACTCCATTTATGTATGATATGTCAAAACTCATTCCACGGTCATGTATAACTAATTAGAACAAAAACAGAGAAATGTTAAAGGTTTGGATTATTTTCATATATGGCACACATGAGCAATTGGAAAAGAATTTATATTATTCTTTTATGTTGCTAAAAACCAGCAGAAGGATAATGATTTGACATTGACTTGATATTGAGTAGTTTTAGTTAAGAATTGACTTTGGAAATGGTCCTTTTTCATATTTTTATTACCAAACTTTTTTAAAAAATATTTTTTAGTTGTAGATGGACACAATACCTTTACTTATTTATCTTTATGTGGCGCTGAGGATTGAACCCAGGGCCTTGCATGTGCTGGGCGAGTGCTCTACCACTGAGCCACAACCCCAGCCCCATCAAAATTTTTAAGGAATGAGGGTCATTAAATCTATGAAAGGTAGGGCCATATTCAGCTTGTTTTTAAATTTAATTAAATTTTGTATTTATACATACACACGCATACATACATACATACTGAGGATTGCACCCAGGTTCACTCTACTGCTGAGCTATATCCCTAGCCCCTCCATTTCAAAATTTTATTTTGAGATAGGTTCTCACTAAGTTGCCCAGGCTGGCCTAAAACTTGTGATTCTCCTATTTCAGCCTCCCATATAGCTAGAATTAAAGCATGTACCATCACACTCAGCCAAGCTTTTTTGTTTGTTTGTTTTAAAGAAGAAGGGTGTTTTCATTTTTTCTTACCTAACAAGACTGATTTCTAATCACTGGATTTGATGGAATTGGCTTGTTATATCAGTTAGTAGATGAGAAAGGGAGAAATGACAGAGCATGGGTGAAGGCAATGATTGGGAAAAAGAAGTAATTTTTGCTTATACCTCACAGAATTGGTATTAATAAGTTATAAGAATGTCAATAATGCTATGTAGTATAATATATAGTTAAAGTATAATGATTAAGAATATGTGTTTCATCTCTCCACTTACCATCTTGCCCCCATCTTCCTCATGTATAAAATAGAGAAATAGCAATATTTACTTCACAAGGGTAGTTGTGGTTATTACATGAATTTATACATGTAAAGATCTTAAAACAATGCCTGGCACATAGTTTATTAAATAGGTAAGAGCTATCATTGTCATCATCTTCAATATAAGAAGGAGGGGTTTGGGACTCAACCTGGATGCATTCTGAATTTTGGAGGATGAGAATAAATTATCCAAGGAGGAGACAGAATGAAGAAAGAGTTGTCCAAGAATAAACATAGAAATATCAAATAATAGAGTGTTGTTTTGGAAGGTTGGAAGAGGAAATCTTTCTCAGTGTGGACAGATATGAAGTCCAGGGTGGAATTTTTGATTTCAGGAGTCTTTAGCCATGTCTAATTTATTTACAGAGTTTGAAGAAAGGATCATACTGAAGGTATAGGCAGCAGAGAAAATTGACTAACACGGTTGCCTCTGAGAATTTGGAAGGAGCAAAGGGTTGGACATGTCCATAGGCATCCCCATATCTACATCCTCAACTTCTTTTTCTCTTATAACATCTGGATTTCTAAGTCAGGCATGTTTCAAAGGCTATACTGCCTTTGTCATGAATACTATAACCATGTCATAAATTCCTTCCTCATCTATAAAACAAAATCCTCTACTCCTGACCATATGTTCCATATTCACTTTATTTTTTAAAGTCTATTACAGAAACCAATATTGACAATTCTGTTAGATGATGCAGTTAAATTTGGGGTATTTTTGTGGTGTAGTTGTTTTCCCTGAGAAGTGGGTTGTTTTCTTTCCCCAAGAGTTTTGTGATATTTCAATGTATTTAGTCAGGAAAAGTAAATTTTCCTTTGGTACAAAATTCATCTCCAAGAATGGCTATCAAATTAAAATGGGTGGTATCATCATTAAGATAGTTAAGTAAACTATTTGGGCGTCACTGCCTACATAATGAATCTGAAATAAAGTATATCAAGATGCTTATATTTCTAGTTTCTAGCATTATTAATTATTAATTGAAACGAATTATTCTTAAATCTCAAAATCCAATGTTTCTAGCATTATTATTATTAATTAAAATAAGTTATCTTAAATTTTAAACCAAATCCAAATGAGAAAAATAACCTCTGCTGGACCACATTGAAGACAGATATTATTACTTCTAAATTCTGCTTTTTATAAAACATCATCAACTATCACCAAAAAATATTGGGGTACACAATTTAGAAAATATTTTTTAAATGACCAAATATAACTTTAGAATTTGTTTTCAGACTTAGTTTTTAAATGTAATCTTCTCAGCATAACTGGATTGTGAAAAAATATATTTTATCTACATCTACTAACATCATATCTTCTAAACACATCACTCTAAATATTCAAAAAGAAAGGAACTGTTTGCAGAGAACTTCTGGTGAATGGCCTTAATTACAAATCAGTGTTAATGAGTTAAAGAGTATGTCATCATCTTCTGGGCCATTTCTCTTTCCCTCTCTCTCTGTTTTGTTATCAGGGATTGAACCCAGGGACACTTAACCAATGAACCAATTCCCAGTCCTTTTATTTTTTATTTTGAGACCTGGTCTTGCTAAATTGCTTAGGGCCTTCCTAAGTTGTTAAGAATGGCTTTGAACTGTTGATCCTCTTGCCTAGCCTCCTGAGCTGCTAGGATTACAGGTGTGTGCCACCATTCCTGGCTTGGACCAGTCCTCTCTTACTGTAATAATCTTGTGTATTAGCCACAATACCTCAGTGCTATATAGTAAACATTTCTTCTAGCATGTCTACAGATTAGCTGACCACTTCTGATGATCTTGGTAGACTTGATTTAGCAGTATTTTGGGTCTTGGCTGAGGTCACTCATGTGTCTGAAGCTCTGCTGGCTGCTGAATAATCTTGAACACCTTTGGCTAGGATGATGCAGCTCTGTTCCACATGGTGTTGGTTTTTTTTATTCAGCTAGCCTGGGCTTAGAGGTAGTGGTAGTTTTCCAAAAGAGAGATGCATAACAAGGCCTCCTGAGACCTGGACATGAAGTTAGTAGGTATTACTTCCCCCATATTCTTCAGGCCAATGCAAGTCATGAACCTGGACTAGTTTGAAGGGATGGAAAAATATGCTTAATGGGAGAAATGACTAAATCACATTTTAAAAGGCATGGGTAGAAGCTAGGATAGAGAATTGAGGCCACTTTTGTGATCAGTCTGTCACATCCCCTTTCATCTTTCTCTGCCTGAATTGTCTGGATGTCTGTTCTTGAGCTGACTGTTTTGTGGGTAATCTTGTAAGAAATGACTGTGGGTCTCAGTACCTACTAAAATGGGGAATGTAGGCAATCTGTTACTATACAGAAATGTCTCTCAAAGAGGGCTTTGGACATTTCTGCTTATGGTTTGTCATTTAATTTTATTGCTTTGTTATCAAGAAAAAAAGAAAATCATGTAAGAAAATTTTTATGTGAAGGGAGAAGCAAATTAATTACAACTAAGTAAAATCCTCTCAAGTGTTTAATGAGAAAAATTGAATGTTGTAGTTTAATTTTTTGTAGCTCCTGAATAGCAGCAGATGTTTGAATAAAATACAATGAATTGTTGTGTTTTTAGCCCTGTTGGTAAAAACCTGAGATGAAAGGAGTGGGCAAAAAATTTAGAGCTAGAGTTTCAGAGAATCAAAATACCTTGACTGACCAGTTTTTATGATGCTTCTCTTCCTTTGCACTGATTATAGACTCAGTACTTTGTCAAAACATTATCCCAGGAAGGGATAATGGTTATCTATGTGAATGTACCTATTGGTCTCAGAATCAGTCATTCCTCATGGTTATTTGTGGGATATCTTGATATTCATAATATTTAACACCAGTGCCTTATGGGCTAGGTATTCAAGAAGATTTTTATTACATGTAAGTATTGAAATGTTGATTTCTTTTTTTTTTTTTTAAATTTTTTATTGTTGGCTGTTCAAAACATTACATAGTACTTGATATATCATATTTCACAATTTGATTCAAGTGGGTTATGAGCTCCCATTTTTACCCCATATACAGATTGCAGAATCACATCAGTTACACATCCATTGATTTACATATTGCCATACTAGTGTCTGTTGTATTCTGCCTTTCCTATCCTCTACTATCCCCCCTCCCCTCCCCTCCCCTCCCCTCTTCTCTCTCTGCCCCCTCTACTGACATTCGTTTGTCCCCCTTGTATTATTTTTCCCCTTCCCCTCACTTCCTCTTGTATGTACTTTTGTATAACTCTGAGGGTCTCCTTCCATTTCCATGCATTTTCCCTTCTCTCTCCCTTTCCCTCCCACCTCTCATCCCTGTTTAATGTTAATCTTCTTCTCATGCTCTTCGACCCGGTCTATTCCCTAAAGACCTAAATAGAGCATGCTACAGGGACACTGCTACATCGATGTTCATAGCAGCACAATTCACAATAGCTAGACTGTGGAACCAACCTAGATGCCCTTCAATGGATGAATGGATAAAAAAAATGTGGCATTTATACACAATGGAGTATTACTCTGCATTAAAAAATGACAAAATCATAGAATTTACAGGGAAATGGATGGCATTAGAGCAGATTATGCTAAGTGAAGCTAGCCAATCCCTAAAAAACAAATGCCAAATGTCTTCTTTGATATAAGGAGAGTAACTAAGAACAGAGTAGGGTTGAAATGTTGATTTCCACTGTTCACCCACCTTTCTGTCTTTAATTTTCCAGAACTTGTAAGTCGGCTTTTTGAAAGCACCTTCCAGGATATCAAGGATAGACAGGAGTATGTAGGGTTGATAGATGTACCGGACTCTTATGAAGGCCCTCGCCTGGAATTTCCTCTCACTTTTACTGACATCAATCACCTTCTTGAGGCCTTTAAGCAACAACAGGCAAGTGGAAGCAGATTCTGCCTTGGTTTTTGTACAGAGCAGCTGCTCAGTGACCATCTATTGAATGAATGAATTTCATACTGCATCAGAAATGTATTTCCTTGGGAAAAAAACCGCTAAACTGTTTTCTACAGTGGCCAAACAATTCATCTTAGGTCAGAGTTACCTTCTACTTTGTTTAACCTATTAAATAGAAGTCTCCTCAGATGCATAGCAACCTCCTCTTGATCTGGATGTTTATAACATTTCCTTTTCCATTTTTGTGACATAATTCACATACCATAAAATTCACAGATTTAAAGTGTACAATTCAGTGATTTTTAGTACATTAACAAGGTTGTATAATCATTACCAATATCTAATTGAATAACATTTTCATCACCCCAAAAGAAAGGCCACATTGATTTGCCATTTCCTCCTCCTTCATCTAGGCAACCACTATTCTACTTTCTGTCTCTATGAATTTGCCTATTCTGGATATTTCATATAAGTGAAATTACATAATATATGGCTTTTTGTGTTTGGCTTTTTTCACTTAACAGTAATGATACAGAAATTTCTAAGGTTCATTCATGTCACAGCATGTATCATTACTTCATTTATTTTAATGGCTGAATAATATTGCATTGTATATCAGTTTGTTTACTGTGTTATCTGTGGATGAACATTGGATTGTTTTTACCTTTTGGTTATTATGAACAATGCTACTATGAACATTTATGTACAAATTTTTTGTATGAACACATCTTCACTTCTCTTGGGTATATACCTAGAAGTAGAATTGTGGGATCATACGGTAACTCTTTGAGTAACCGCTAAACTGTTTTCTACAGTGGCCAAACAATTTTACATTCCCACCAGCAATGTATGAGTGTTCCAATTCTCCATGGTTTTGACAACACTTATTATTTTATTTTCATTTTTATTGTAGCTATCCTAATTGTGTGAAATGGCATCTCACTGAAGTTTTAAAAAAATATTTTTAGCTACAGATGGATAAAATATCTTTATTTCATTTGTTTTATGTGGTGCTGAGAATCAAACCCCGTGCCTCACACATGCTAGGCAAGTGCTCTACCACTGAGCCACAACCCCAGCCCTTATTGTAGTTTTGATTTACGTTTCCTAATAAGTGTTGAGCATTTTTCATGTATTTATTGGCTGTTTGTGTACCTCCTTTGGAGAAATGCTTATGTAGATCCTTCACCCATTTTAAAACCAGGTTGTCTTTTTTTTTTTTTTATTGTGTTATAAGAGTTCTGTCTGGATTTAAGTTCCTTATCAGATATATGATTTACGATTTTTTTTCTTTTTCCATAGATTGTCTTTTCACTTTCTTGTTAATGGACCTTTTTTTTTTTTTTTTGGTACCAGGGATTGAACCCAGAGGCACTTAACCACTGAGCCACATCCCAGCCCTTTTTTTCTTTTTTCTTTTGTACTTAGAGACAGGTTCTCACTGATTTGATTAGCGCCTCGCTTTTGCTGAGGTTGGCTTTGAACTCCCCTAGCCCTTTTATATTTTATTTAGAGACAGGATCTTGCTGAGTTGTTCAGTGCCTTGCTAAATTTCTGGGGCTGGCTTTTAACTTGGCCATTCTCCTCTTTCAGCCTCCCCAGCCACTGGGATTACAGGCATGTGCCACTGTGCCCAGCTGATAATGGACTTTGATGCACAAGAATTTTTATTTTAACAAAGTCCAATTAATTAATTTTTCTCCTTTTGGTTGCTTATGCATTTTTTGGTGTCATCTGAGAATCCATTGTCAAATCCATGATCATGAAAATTTATTCCTGTATTTTCTTCTAAGAGTTTTATAGTTTTAGCTCTTATATTTAGGTCTATGAACCATTTTGTGTTAATTCCTATATAGCATGAGATAGGGGTCAAACTTCTTCATTCTTTGCATATGGTTATGCAGTTGTCCCAGCATCATTTGTTGAAGAGACTGTTCTTTTCCCATTGAGTGGTCTTGGCACTCTTGTTCAAAATCCATAAGCCATAGATATATGCATTTGTTTCTGGACTATCAATTCTATTTCATTGGTCTATGCATTTATCTTTTTTATTTATTTGTTTTTGTTTTTGTGTATTGGTGGGAATCCAGCCCAAGTCTTCCTACATGCCACGCAAGTACTTTACCACTGAGGTATATCCCCAGCCCCCTGTATGTCTGTCTTTATGCCAGTAGCACACTGTATTAGTTACTGTAGCTTTGTAGTAAGTTTTCTTTTTCTTGTTCCCTCCTCTTCTTCTTCTTCTTTTTTTTTTTCCCCCCTGTGGAGATACTGGGGATAGAACCCAGGAGCATTCTGCCTCTGCAGCTACATCCCAGCCCTTTTTAAAATTATTCTGAGACAGGGCCTGGCTAAGTTGCCCAGGCAGATCTTGAATTTGCTATTCTCCTGTCTCAGTCTCCCAAGTCACTGGGATTATAGGCATGTGCCACCATTTCCAGCAAGGTTTTTTTTTTTTGTTTGTTTGCAGGACTAGGAATTGAACCCAGGGCCTTATGTGTGCTAGGCAAGCACTCTACCACTAAGCTACATCCCTGACTATGTTGTAACCTTTGAAATAGGGAAATGTGAGTTCTTCAGCTTTGTTCTTTCTTTTCAATTTTGTTTTGGTGGTTTAGGGTTCCTTGCAATGAATTTGAGGATTGAAAATTTTATTTCTGCAAAAAAGCCATTGAAATTTTGATAGGTATTGCATTAAATTCATAGGCAATACTTTGTTTGGGTAGTATTGCCATTTGACAACATTGTCTTCCAATCCATGAAAACAGGGTGTTTTCCCACTTATTTATGTCTCCCTTAATTTCTTTCAGCAATGTTTTTTAGTTTTCAGTGGACAAGTCTTTCACAACCTTGGTTAAATTTATTCTTAGGTATTTGGTTGACACTGTAAAAGAAATTGCTTTCTTGATTTTTTTTTTTTTTTGCATTGTTTATGGCTTGCAGCTTCAATGAATTGATTTATCAGGTCTGATAGTTCTTTGGTTTATGCAGATTCTTTGGGATATTTTCCATACAGGATCATGTCTTTTGTGGAGTTTTATTTTTCCTCTTTTCTGATCTGGATGCTTTTGTTTTGTGTGTAATTTCTCTGTCTAGAGCTTGTAGTACAATATTGAGTAGCAGTGATGAAAGTTGGAATGTTTGTCTTGTTCCTGTCTTAAAGGGAAATCTTTCCGTCTTTCACCATGGTGTTTGATGTTGTGGGTTTTTCATAAATGCCCTTTGTCATGCTGAAGAAGTTTCCTTCTAATTTTAGTTTCCTAAGTAATTTTATCATAAAAGGGTTTTGAGTTTTCTTTATTTTTTTTGTATGTGTGTGGGTTGAGATAATTGTATGTGTATGTGTGTGTGTGTTTTCCTTCATTTTCTAAATGTGGTATAATACACTGATTCATTTTCTTATTTTCAACCACCCTTATATTCCTGAGGTAAATCTCACTTGGTCATGGTTAATAATCTCTTTAAAATGCAGTTGAATTTGGTTTACTGGCATTTTGTTGAAGATTTTTATATCTACATTTTTAAGAGATAGTTGATCTGTAATTTTCTTTTAGTGTCTGTGTTTGGCTTTGATATCAGGGTAATAATGATTTCATAGAATGAGTTAGGTATTTTTCCCTCTTATTTGGTTTCTTTTTTTGGGAGGAATTTGAGAAGGATTGGTGTTAATTTTTTTATTATAATTTTTCATTGGTGCATTATAGTTACACATTATAGTGGTTGTTATATATTTGTACATGCACACAATATAACTTGGTTAATTTTATTCTCCAGTATTTAATTCAATTAGTGTAGCCACCTGGACTTCAGCTTTTCTTTACTAGGAGGTTTTTGATTACTGATCCAATCTCTTTACTTATTGTAGGTCTGTGCAGATTTCCTATTTCTTCTTGAGTCTACTCTGGTAATTTGTGTATTTTTAGGAATTTGTCCATTTCATATAACTTATCTAATTTGTTAATGTACAGTTGTTCATAGTATTCTGTTACAATCTTTTTATTTTATTTATTTATTTATTTTTGCACCAGGAATTGAACCTGGGGCTCTTAACCACTGAGCCAAATCTCCAGCCCTTTTTTATATTTTATTTTGAAACAGGGTCTTGCTGAGTTGCTTAGGGCCTCACTAAGTTGCTGAGGCTGGCTTTGAACTTTCAATCTTCCTGCCCCAGCCTCCTGAACTGCTGGGATCACAGGTGTGTGCCACCAAGCCCGGCTCTTTTGTAATTTCTTTAAAGTTGATGGTAATAGCCTTATATTTGTTTCTGATTTTGGTTGTTTGAATTTTCTCTCTCTCTGCCCCACCCCTTTTTTTCAGTCTAGTCAAAGGTTTGTTAATTTTGTTGATATGAAGAACCAACTTTTGTTGATTCTCTGTTGTTTTTCTGCTCTGTTTCATTTATCCCTACTGTAATTCTTATTTTCTTCCTTCTACTAACTTTGGGTTTAGTTTGCTTTTATTTTTCTAGTGAACTAAAAGTACTGTTGGATTTGAAATAATTTTTTTTCTCTCCCTCCAGTGTTTTATTTTTTAATTTGTTTTAATTAGTTACACGTGACAGTACAATGATCTTGACATATCATACATTTGAATCAGATGAGATATAATTTCTCATTTTTCTGAGTGTACAGGCTGCAGAATCACATTGGTCATGCAGTCTCATATATACACACAGCAATAATAATGACTATTTTATTCTGTCCTTGAAATAATTTTTTTAATGCAGACATTTACAGTCATAAATTTCTCTCTGAGCACTGCTTTTGCCATATTGCATATGTTTTGGTGTGTTGTGTTTTCATTTTCATTCATCTCAAAGTATTTTCTAATTTCTCTTGTGGTTTTTTTTTTCCTTTCCATTGGTTGTTTAAGAGTAATGTATTTTCTAGTTTTGCTTCTGTTATTGATTTCTAGTTGCATTCCATTGAGGTCAAAGAAGATACTTTGCACCATTTCAGTCTTTTAAAATTAAATTTATTGAGGCTTATATTGTGACTTAACATCTGGTCTATCCTGGAATATTTTCCATGTGTACTTGAGAAAAATGAGTCTGCTGTTTTGGGGTAAGTATTCTATACATGTCTATTAGGTCTAGTTGTGTGTGTGGTTTCTGTAATGTCCATTCAGTTCCTTATGAAATGAAGGAAGAAAGAAAAAAAGAAATTTCTCTCAGTCTTTGCAGATTGACTCTATTGGGACCCTTGCTTCACTGCTTGGTCAGGCCATTTACAAATCTGTCTTGCAAAGTATCATGCTTATGCTTAGACATTGTCAAGTTTCCTTTTTCTTTATTTAGTGTGTGTTTGACTGCTGTAAACCTCAAAGATATTTCAGAGCTCTGACAAAATTGATTCTGACAGTTTTTTTTGGTTTGATTTTTCAATAGTTCTGTGGAGGGATTGGATCTTGGAGCTCACTACATCATTGTCTCTGATATCACCCCTAAACCCTTTTTCTCAATTTAGGACACAAAAGGGATACTCTCAGAGTAAGAGTGAACTGGAAATAGGCTGGCTCTGCAGGAATTGAAGCATAGCTTTGAATCATCTGATTTATGAAATTGAATTGAGATCATCCTATGTAGCTAGTGCTCCTAGTCACTTGCCAACAACAAATTTAAATCCTCTCTGGAAAAAAATAGGCCTGAAATTATTTCTACAGTTTTTCCTATACAGTGTCCATGATGCATGAAAGCAAACAGATAAATAACAGATAATGGAAACAAACCCATATTCAGATAATGACATTATTAGACTAAGAGTTTAAAATAAATATGCTTAATATGTTCAAGGAGATAAAAAGATATAACATCAATCCAAGGAACTATAATGGAAAATTTTATAATTTTGACTTTATAAATATGAAAAATTATATTATTAAGGAAAGACTCAAAGAATAAAAGGTTCAACACAGTATACAGTATATTCCCATTGTAAGAAAAAAAATCAAGGACTATGTTTTTTATCTTTAAAAATTGCAATAAAATTCATATAACATAAAATCAACCATTCAAACTATTTTAAAGTACACGATTCAGTGGTTTTTTAGTATTTAAAATGTTATTCAACCAACACTATTCCAGAACTGTTTTGTTTTTTTTTTTTTTGTGTGTGTGTGTGTGTGTGGTACTGGGGATCAAACTCAGGGACTGTGCATGATGCCAGGCAACTGCTCTTATTTCCAGAATATTTTTGTCATCCCCAAATAAAACCCTGTATCCATTAACATTCACTTTCCTTTCTGCTTTCCCCAGCTCCTGGGGAATTAGTATACCACTAATTTACTTTTTGTCTCTACAGATTTCTCAGATCTGGATGTTTCATATAATGAAATTATATAATATATGTGGACTTTGATGTCTGGCTTCTTTCACTTGGCATAATGTCTTCAGAGTTCATTCATTTTGTTGCATGTTCTAGTATTTCATTCCTATTTTTAGCTGAATAATATTACTTTATATGGATATACCACATTTTACTTAAAGGATTATATATTTATACCTACATTTGAATATTCATGTGTAGTTATATTAATTCTGTATACTTGCAAACAAGTAGAATATTTTTGGGAAAGATACTAAAAACATTCTCAATAGTGACTGCTTCTGGGGACAGGGATGGGGGATTGAGGTCTGGGAAAAAGGGAAAGTCACTTTTCATTGTTCTATCCCTTTTTTTGGATGGAGGAGGTGCTATGGGGGATTGAACTTAGGGGCACTCGACCACTGAGCCACATTCCCAGCCCTGTTTTGGATTTTTATTGAGAGACAGGGTCTCACTGAGTTACTTAGTGCCTCGTCGTTGCTGAGGCTGGCTTTGAACTTGCAATCCTTCTGTCTCGGCCTCCCGAGCTGCTGGGATTACAGGCGTGTGCCGCCTCTCCTTGCTTGTTCTATCCCTTTTTAATGTCACATTTTTATTTCAACTAAAAAAAAAAAAAAAAAGAATCTTATCTATTTAAAACTACTTTTTGAAAAAGAAATATCCTTTAATAGTAGCATTTTATGTAAAAAATAAATAAAAAAAGAAAGGAAAAAAAGTAGCATTTTCCCTCCTTTGATGCGTTTAAAAGAATGTGAATATTTTATTTAAGAGATTATTTAATTCAAATATATTTACAAATATAAAAATGTCTGATTTACCTGTTTTGAATATTTAATATTGTAGTTGTAAATATAAGATTATAATGCTGCTGAAAGATGGCCTTACAGGCAAGTAATAAAATTAATGAAGTGATTTTACTCAACCTAAAGAGAATCCAGAAAAACTATTTATACTGAGAATTTTCTATTGTTACAAGATATTCTCAGTGAATATTAATTTAACTTAAAAAAAAGCAAATCATCCTCTTCAGACAGCAATTACTCTGATTAATACTACAAATGGACCAGAAAAGCTACAATGACAAGGTTACTCAGAAGCAGCATTAAAAATCACTAGATTAAATGTGTGAACTTAAAGTAAGCCATTAAAAAATATTTTGCCTGTTCCTTTAAAATATGACTGCAGGAAAATTCACAATCAAGTTTTGATTCAAGTTGTAGATTGAATGGAGTTAGAATGCTTTTGTGGGGAAAAGACTTTGCAGTCCATTAAGTCTTGGAAGAGCAGGAAATTCCTCACTCACAAGATCCAAGGAACTTTCTGTTTCCTCCTAATTCTCACATTGCTACAAATCCTGTTTCTTGTTTCTTTTAAAACGATAATAATGAAAATTCTCAAAATTTACATAAAATATTTTTGGATCTTGGATAAAAAGTAATTTTATTTTAAAAGTTATGAAAATGGAAATTTCAGGACACCATGAGACAGTATTAGTCCAAAGGGTTCTATTTTCCCTTATACCCAGAACAGTATCTGAAAGATATTCAGCAATGACCCCTTTCTCAGCTGGCAATAATATAAACCAGTTCTGTCTAATAGAAATAAAATGTGAGCCATATATTTGAAATTTTCTAGTATTCACATTTAAAATATACAAGAAGGTGAAATCAATTTTAATAATTTATTTAACTCAATATATAAAGTATTATTTCAATATGTGATTATATTAAAAATTACATTTTTTTTTCATATTAAATCCTTGAAACCTAGTATGAAATTTGCTCTTAGAGCATATCTCAAGTCAGAAGAACCCCATTTTATGTTTCCAATAGCCCCATGTAGCTAGTGCCTGCCATATTGAACAGCCAGCATAGGTTTAAATAGTCCTAAACTTTAAAGTTGTGTTAATATCTGTTAAATTTTTGTGGTGGTCACATCTCTATTATATTTTGGAGTAAATATTTGGAATATTTTATAATTTAAAAAGGCAGAGGAAGACACAATGGATTAAAAAGAAGTCAAGGGGAAAAATCAGTAAATCTGCAAAACACTTATGCCATCAACACTATAACACTAGAACAATGAGATTAATAATTATAAATAGGAGATAATACAAGTTTTTTAAAAAATTTTTTTTAGTTGTAGTTGGACACAATGCCTTTATTTTATTTATTTTTATGTGGTGCAGAGGATCGAACTAGCCTTGCACATGCTAGATGAGCGTTCTACCGCTGAGCCACAATCCCAGCTCCAATCCAAGTATTTTATTTGGGTTTCAAATATATTTTATTGTTAGACTTTTATATAAATATGCTTTCTGTTTTAAGCAGTCTCAAGGCTATACACCAAATATTTGAGCCACATCTGGGAGGCTTGACTCAGGAGTTCCTTGGAACCTGTCTGGTTGTGAGATCTCCAAGCCCAGCAACACCTACTTTTCATTGCAGGTGGCAGGACATCCTCACAAATGCAAAGCAACACTTCTTCAACAGATTCTGCTTTTTAAAAAATTTAATTTAATTTTTAAAATTATAGTTGGACAAAATACCTTTATTTTATTTATTTTTATGTGGTGCTGAGGATCCAACCCAGGGCCTCGCACATGCTAGGCGAGTGCTCTACCGCTGAGCCACAACCCCAGCCCCAAATTCTGCTTTTCTTTCCCTTTCTTTTTCTCTGTTTCCTTTTTTCTCCTTCTCTTTTATTATTATTTTGTCTGAACATTTCCCTAGGGCAAGTGAGCCCCCTTGCTTCTCCTTACTTCTCTTGGGTTCTAAGGACCAAGAATAATTAGAAATGTTCTGAAAATGAATTGTGTCAATGAAGAATATGAGAATATAAATGTCTTCAGAACCATTCATTCATTCAGTTACACATATCTACTAAGGGCTTTTTATTTGCTAGATACTATGCTAGAATAATCTATTTAAGAAAAATTTAGAGGTTATCCTGAAGTATAGCAACCTAAAATGTGCTCCTATGCTTCACTTTTATAGTTTTCTTCTTAGTTTCTTATATCTATTTCCGTGACTTCCCCCCTGCAGATACTTCATGCTCATTATGTCTTAGAGGTGTTATTTGAAACCAGGAAACTCCTGAAGCATATGCCGAATTTCACTCATGTAAAAACTTCTCCCTCCAAAGAGATAACAGTCTGTGGTAAGTTTCAGAGCAAAATTGTTAAGTTAATATTTAAGTGCCTCATGGTCCTACATCATTTGCCCAACTAGAAAACTGTGTAAATTGGACTGTGTTGAGAGAAGAATGTTAATATAGAATTATCTATCATGATAATACTCTTCCCTATCTTGTCTTTGTTGTGCATACCAGCTGGCAGGAATTAATTATGTAAGAAATTAAAGAACTCATAGCTTTTTATAAAGGCAGACAACATTTTAATATGGAAAACCACCCATGGGTAGAATAAGCATTCTTTGCCCTCTGACTAACTCTCATTATCTTTGTTCCATGTTGCTTTTTCTAGGTAGGCCTCTGCATGCCACTTATGCTGGGAAGAGAAAAACCTAAGGCAGGATGGAGATTAAATTCTTTTCTGCCCTTGGCTGCTGTTTTAGATTTTTTCCAACTAGTCTCTGCAGCTTTTAGAAGAGTGGGAATGTCCCAGAAATCTGTTTCTTGTTCTTCTAAATAGCAAGATTTGAGATTTTGTTATCATATAGGCCAGCCTGGCAGGATATTGCTTCAAGAAACAGTACACATTGAAATTCATCACAGTTGGTGCCCAGCATGCTTGCAACTGTCTGGGAGTGGAGTGCGTGGAAGGAACAGCAATTCCCTTAACTTCTAATTAAGCCTTTAGGTTACAAAGTAGTGATTGTTATTTTCCAAATCAATTTTTAGCCTGTGTTTCTCTTACTCTGGCAGGTAGAAGTGGATTTGACAATCTAATTAAACCATTTCCATTTCTAGCATCTGATATTGGTGACAGGAACTTGATGATATAGCAATACGTAACTCATAACATGCCCTGACTCAAGTTTTTGAAGAGACTATAATGGTTTAATTCCAACCCAATCAGGCCACCACATCTCTGACTAGCACATGGTACATCTCAGCATGGGGGTCTTTTATTTAAGGGCTTACCAGGCCTTAAGTTTCGTGGAAATAAAGAACTTAGGATAATAAGACTCAGGAAGTCATGCCAATCTGGGAAACCTATGAATCCAGGACTAGGCTTGCTATCAGAATATAAATAGTAGCTAAAACAGAGAGTGGGGTCTGTTTCCAGGTACTTCTATCATACCTCTAGTTGCCATTGCAGAATTATCTGTGCCTAAAATGACCTGAAAGATATAGCAATGGTCTGGTCTATCCCTTGTTTGTTTGTTTGTTTGTGCTAGAGATTGAACCCAGGTCCTAGTGCATGCCAGGCAAGCACTCTACCACTGAGCTACATCCCTACCCCTAGTGTCAGGATGAGAATTAGAAATTAGGACATCTGTATCCCAAGTTAGAGGCAACCCCATATTTGCTCTACTAGTTTGCAACATTCACTTGTCTAGCTAATGTTTCAGTTTTCCTCATGAGACAGACTGGAGAATGGATGGATTAAACTGTTGCATTTTTTTTTAAGGAATCCACATCTTGGGCATTTATTTCCAGATTTATTCTATGTAGCATCATTGGTAGAAGGAAAAGCCAAGATCAATAGGTTCTCTTAACATAGGAATTATTACTTTGTCTTTAAGTAATAATTAATTACAAAATAGTAATTATTACTTTATCTTTAGTAACCAATTGAACTTTGAAAATTTGGTTATCATTTAAAATAAAATTTAAAGTGAAACTATATTTCCAAAACCATCCTCTTTTAAGATAATATCAATAAAGGAAGAGAAAATATTTTACCATTTACCACATTTTAATTACTTTTTAAATTTATGTATGACAGTGGATTGCATTACATTTCATATTACACATATAGAGCACAAATTTTCTTATCTCTAGTTGTATACAAAGTATATTCACACCAATTTGTGTCTTCATACATGTTCTTTGGATATTAATGTCCATCATATTCCACTATCATTTCTAACCCCATGCTCCCCTCCCTTCCCCTCCCACCCCTCTATCTAGAGTTTGTCTATTCCTCCCATGCTCCCCCTCTCTATGAATCAGCCTCCTCATATCAGAGAAAACCATATTCAGCATTTGGTTTTTTGGGATTGGCTAACTTCACTTAGCATTATCTTCTCTAACTCCATCCATTTACCTGCAAATGCCATGATTTTATTCCCTCTTATTGCTGAGTAATATTCCATTGTGTATATGTGCCACTTTTTTTTTATCCATTCATCTGTTGAAAGGCAACTAAGTTGGTTCCACAGTTTAGCTATTGTGAATTGTGCTGCTGTAAACATTGATGTAGTTGTGTCCCTGTAGTATGTTGTTTTTCAGTCCTTTGGGTATACTCATACGTTGACTGCAAATTGGTGTAGCCAATATGGAAGCAGTATGGAGATTTCTTGGAATATTGGGAATGGAAACACCATTTGACCCAGCTATCCCACATTTTAATTTCAAGATGCATTTTTACATGTACATCTAAATATACCCCATAGTTCTCAGCATGCATGAAATATAGGAATTTTTTAGTCTATAGTTATAAATGATAATTAATTCTGCACTCATTTTTTATTTGCAGTAGAAATGTCTTTGTATTTATATTTTCCTGGCATAAGTTTTTCTTTTATTGTCCAACTAGAAATTCCAAATATTTTTATAGCCTCAACTCTTTTTTTTTTTTTTTTCCTTTGCTGGGGATCAAACCCAGGGTTCCCCATTTTTTTGTTGTTGTTACCGTGGATTGAACCCAGGGGTGCTTCACCACTGAGTCACACCCCTAACCCTTTTTATTTTTTGAGACAGGGTTTTGCTGTGTGTTTAGCCTTGCTAAATTGCTGAGTCTGGCTTTGAAATTGCAATCTTGTTGCTGGGATTTATAGGCATGCATCACCACACCTAACCTCAATTCTTAATATGCTGAAACAAGCTCATTTTTGAGCATTCTAGCTACTATAGTCCAGTATACTCAAATCTTTGATGAGTCACTCTGAAGAAAGTTTAGAAAATAATTAACATAATAATTTTATTAAACTGATAAGTAAAAATTTCTTCCATCTTTATTTCCTTAGCTTTGGAGTGAGATTGTTATGAAAGTAATGAGATTTAAGCCTTCAATAACATTAATATGCTCTTAATTTTATTGTTAAAATTGTAGTTATCTTATAAATAAGAGATAGTGATATAGAATTTTAATTTTATTATTCCAAGTGTAATTGAAGTCTTCCATTGTGCATATTTGATAAATCTTGGTTGTGGGGTTTTAAACAAACTGAGTAAAAGTATTCCTAAATTAAATATTATGGTAATTAAGTTAGATACAAAAAATAAAACTTCATGAGCAGAGTTTATAAAAGATAGATGTTTTACCTAGAAATATTTATTCATATGGGGTTTTTGAATATTCACAATCACTCTTAATTTTTTAATTAATAACTTCATATATTCATATGGTTTCCTTTAGTTCGCTTCTGTTTTTATTTCTTATAGCTCTCATCAAAAGAATGTCAACTATTTCTTCACAATTTTTAAATTTCAGATGCTACTGCTGGAGCATATTTGAAACATGTCTTTAAAAAATTATGCATTTAGGGGCTGGGGTTATGGCTCAGTGGTAGAGTGATTGCCTAGCATGTGTGAGGCACTGGGTTTGATTCTCAGCACAGCATATAAATAAATAAATAAAGGCCATCAGCAACTTAAAAAAAAATATATACACACACACACGTGTGTGTGTATGTAT